GTCATGTGACAATTCATTCATGCAGGGCTCTTGGCACAGGCTTAGTATGGCGTTTAAAAGACCCCTCTCCCTCCATCCCCCCCAAATCTGTAAGGAAAGTGTGGTCAGGGTTAAGGACAGAGTCACTCTATCCAGTTAAAAAAAAATCACCGTGACTGACTTGGTTTCACTGTCATGTCAGCCTCAGGCTGGTGGCTGTCTCCTACACATCCTGATGCTCAATTACTTTGTTGTGCTTGGTGGAGGGGAACTTAGCTTCACATCACCTCTGTGGTCTGGAGCCAGCCCTGGGTGCAAGTTAGAGCAGCCTCAAGGGCCCCTATGGCCCAGGTAAGAAGCGAATAGCTATACTGTACCGTTCTCGTGCCACAGCCCTGCCACAATCTTTATGCTGGGGGAGGTGGTAGGGAGACCTCTACCAGCCCCGGAGGCCCTGTAGTGTTTTCAGGGAGGCCTTTTAAGGTAGCTCCACAGAGCAGTATAAAACGGCCTTGTTGTAACTGAGAACTAGACCTCCTATTTTTAACCCTGCCATTGGCCAGATGGTCTATAGCTTGCTGTGCCTATGAATGAGGCTCAATGATGCCCTCCCATGGATGAGCTCAAATGCCACAGGTAGGGGCACAACGTAAGTGAGATTAGCTAGAAAGAAATGAATGTGAGATAGTTCGAGAGAATCTGTTGACTTTCTAGGGCAGGGGTGTCTACATTTTTGCTGAACCAAGGCCCATTTACCAGGAGGCCCCCACTTAATCTGACATATAATGGGCTGGACTGCAGCCATGGAGAACAACAGGCCCAATTCCAGCATCACATACACAGGTGGATTCCTGCTCCAGGCCATGGGAGTCACCCTCCCCCTGTATGTGAAGTCTCCACTGATGCCCAAGTGTGATACCCCAGTGTGTTCTGGGCAGTGAAGCTCCCCAGCTCACGGTCTAGCGTTGTGGGGTGGGATCTGCATTCTCCACAGGGCCCCCCCACCCTCACATTATGCCACCCATTCATCCTGCCTTACTATCTCCTTTGTCTCTCCCTTGCTGAATTTTTCCACACTGCCCCCTATGCTTGGAACCCCTCCTGCATCCAGGCCCCCCCATTCCTTGCTTTTCAACACACCCTCCCCGCCGCCTCACAGCCTCTGGGAAGCCCAAACACGTCATCCAACTCTGTATATCAAATCTAAACCACTCAAATGGCGTCATTTTGTACTGACCCCAGGGTTAAATCCTTGGGGGAGGGCTCACATCTCCTCTGATTTGTTGCTGTGCTGGATGCTGTACGAGGCAGAGAGAGAGAAATTTACTGCCGCAATCAATGCTCGATAAAGAAACATGAATCAGGGACCAAAGATAGAAGAGCACCCGCAAAAGATTGGCTGGGTGGCCTCACTCATTTCTGGATCTACCTTTTCAGTGAAATTTTTCTCTCTCCCCCTTCATAATCGTCTTTCCCCACTAGACTGTCTGGGTTGCTCCACACTGCACAGAAAAGGCCTGCGGTAGCAAGTCTCAGAGCCCAGGTCAACTGACTTAGGCTTTCGTGGCTCACACTATAGGGCTAAAAATATCAGTGTCAATGTCTGGGCTCGGTCTGGAGCCCAGACTCTGAAACCCAGCAAGGGGGGATGGGTTTCAGAGCCCAGACTCCAGCCTGAGCATCTACGCTGTTAGTTTTAGCCCTGTAGCAGGCGCTCAAGTCAGCTATCTGGGTTCTTAGACTGACTGCTGCAGGTCTGCCGGTTTTTGCAGTGTAGACATACTCTATGTCTGTTCCTTTCCCTCTCAGATTTAGCAAAGCTCTCAGTGCGCTTACAATGAAATTTACCCTTGTGCAGAGGTGCCACAGAAGCCCTATGCATTGCTTAAGTCCTCAAGATTGGACATAAGTGGTGCATAAGCCTCATGCTGGGCCTCTTACCTGGGCTGAATAAATAACAATGGCGACCATTGCTCAAGTGTGAGTTGAGAAGATATAAAAACCCAACATACACTGACGGGCCTGAGGCCATGGACCGTGGTCATCAGGAGATTTATGGTCGTGGAGGGTAAGTGTGTATTTCAAAGCTAGTCTGATTGTTGGGTCCCATCCCAGCATGGAAATAGCAACATGCAGATGCACTAGGAGGGTATTGCTCAATCCCCCCAGCTTTTGTGCAATGTTCTCTCTTGGGAGTAAACTGGAAAGCTCTGAACTATAATTAGACCCACGATGCCCTGCAAACAGGGCCAGGGTTGCATGCGCCCAGCTGAAGGACCGTGAGTTTTTGTCTGTGCTTATCGACTGACTCTGAATGCTGAATTCTCACACTCCACTGTGTAGGCCCAGGGCCAGCGCTTCCACTAGATGACCCTAGGCAGTTGCCTAGGGAGGCAGGATTTGGGCGGCGGCATTTTGCCATCCCCTGGTGGCAATTCGGCGGCGGAGGTCCTTCTGCTCCGCGTCTTCGGGGTGCTTCGGCGGCGGGTCCTTCATTTGCTCCGGGACCCGCCGCTGAAGCACCCCGAAGACGTGAAGCGGAAGGACCCCCACCGCCAAATGCTCTGAGGCGGAGCGCTGCTGCCTAGGGCGGCAAAAACCCTGGCGCCGCTCCTGTGTAGGCCTACAGTGTTCCTACGGGGACATGCCACAGTCGTCGTGTGATTTCTCTGAGTTGACATTCCTTTGTCAGTCACGGGCACTTCCTGGATGTGCACTTTGAAAAGCAGCTAATGAGGCCAACCCCACGGATTTCTAGCCTACATCAAGTTAGCATGACTTACAAGGTGTGATGGTCACTTACATTACATCAATTTATTTATAAATTCACCTTTATGATAGCTTGAGAATGAATCATTAGCAACATTTACACATCACAAGACCACGGAAGCCGAGCTATTTCAAATGCCATTTTGGCTGAGCTTCCGAGGAAGTGCACATGCAATATTCTTCAAGGCATGGCCATTGTGTGCTTCTGCAATGCACTGTAAAGCCATCTGGCTGGATCTGCTATGAATAGAGCCCTTTGTTTTGGCTAGTACCTCATTCAGCTCAGCCTCTCCACAACTGAAGAAATGCCGAGATAGCATGTTAAAGTCACGGACAGGCACTGGCAATACAGAAGGAATTGTCTGAAGGAATGATCTGTGCAACTGGCATGCGCATCTGCACCGAGTCACACTTTAAATCATGCCCTAAATATACCCCCAATCCTGCATTCCTTACCCGCCCCCCATTGGAGTCCATAGGCGCTGTCATTGTGCAAGGGATTCAGGATCAAGTCTTAAATGGATTCTGTTCGAAGTGTGGGCTAAGTTCATTTCTCCAAGGTATGCTGCATATCTCTGCCTCAGGCCTGGTCTACACAGGGCGGGAGGGGGGGGAATCGAGCTAAGTTATGCAACTTCAGCTATGTGAATAACGTAGCTGAAGTCAACGTACTTAGATCTACTTAACGCGGTGTCTTCCCTGCGGTAAGTCAATGGCTGACGCTCTCCCGTCGACTCCGCCTGCGTTTCTCGCCCTGGTGGAGTACCAGAGTTGACAGGAGAGCGCTCGGCGGTCGATTTATCGTGGCTAGACTAGACACGATAAATCGACCCCCCGCTGGATCGATCACTGCCCGCCGATCCGGCCAGTAGTGTAGTCAAGCCCTGGCGTCAGCATCCTTGATGTCAGTGAAAGCTCTTTGCTTGGTGTGATACTTTATGCAACAGAGAGCCACACTATGGTGTGAGGAGAATGCTCCCCAAAGCCTTTGGAGTCAATAAAATTTCTTGGCAAATCATTTCCTCATCACCACACTTTGAACAAAAGCAAAACATTTAGTCACTTAACCACCAAACAGAATAAAAAAAGAAGCATCTGAGACCCTGTCCAGTATACATGATCTGTATGGAATAACACAGAGGCAATTTACCATTGAGACCCTTAATTTAAGCACCTAAAAGCAGTATTTATGTTACTTGCTTTTTAAAGCATTTGCACCATCCGCACCACAGAGCATATTACACTGCTTTCCGACGCGTCACCGCTAACTTCAAACTCCCCTTTCTGGTTATAGTTCATCATTCCTTCACTTAAAGACAATGGGTTTTAAGCTTGTGCTCTATATTCTGTTAGGACTTAATGATCTCTTGGGAGATGAGAAAATGCTTCGTAAAAATAAAGTTGGGAAAAGTGAGTTCATCAGGGAAAACCCTGTTGAATTCGAATTCCCTGGCCCTGCCAGGAGAAGGTATCCCAAAGACTAATGTGTCTAAACTAGAGGCTGAGAGCAAAGCCAGAGATGTGAACTTTGAGAGACTTCAGAGTTGGATGAGAACTTCACAAATTTGCCCCTGTGACAATACCAGGTCCAGACTCTCCAGAATGTTGGGAAAGTTCAGATCTGAAAAACTAGGATCAAATTAGAACCATTCCTGATCTAAACTATTGAATCATTACAGAAGATAAAGGGCAGGTAGCCAAAACCCAGTCATCATTAGTATAACTGTTTTTTGAAGAGGTCTATATATATGAGATACAACATGAAGTGCTTTTTCTTCCCTTCTCATCAAGAGCTAAATTGCTCATTTCCATATTCCACAGGATGTTTTGCATCAGTTATTTCTAGCCATTGACCATGTTTACAGACTGTCAAGCACACCATATCTTTGGGATGTGCCATTAATGTTTTCAAGTCAATCATCAATACCCTGTGAAAATGCTACTTAGGGAAAATAGCCAAATTTGTTTCACAAAGTATTCTGGACCACTCTGGACGGGGTTGTGTTATTATTACAAGTTAGCACAGACCCAGGGGCATCCTGGTGCACATCATTCAGAGTCTACGATGTTGACAACGTGCTCAGGTATTTGTGGTATTTCTTTACCTAATGTAGTGAGATACACAAAATGGCGGCACATGGAAGTGTAGCCTATGGACGAGTATTAGGTGGTGCTGTAAACAAGAGCCCCACAGCGTCTACCTAGAGAAGTGCAAGGTTTGTTTTTGCTATGGCTCAGCAACTTCTATGTGATGTTTGCCGCTGACTTCTTGGCTTCCAACAGGATTAAGTGAAGGACGTTTTTCTAATTTTCTTTTATTATTTTTTAAACATTTCAAATAAAACCATCTTGTGTTGTAAACATAATCTCATTCCTTGGGTCTGCTCCGACAGTCCCAGCTAAGGTTTATGCTTGAAATGGGCTTCCACTGAAATGAAAAAACAAACAAACAAACCAAAAATGACGATGCAATGGATGTTAGAAGACGGATTATCATGCAACCCTTGGGGATCCAATCCACCAGCCGGGCTTAGCTTTGAACGAGTGGCCGTAGGGGCTTGTCTTCACTACAGAATGTTGTTGTGTTAGAACACGACTGCAAAGAGTTGTGTTCACCATTGCGTCAGCTGGTCGTGGCTAAACCCTGATCCCAGAAGCGTTTACTGATAATCGGCTAACAAGATACTGAACATGACACATCCTTGTCTACACTGATCTGTCAGCACTCAACTCGATTGTTAAAAATCAGGTTTACGCACACTTAAGTGGATTCCCATGAAAGGTTCCTTATAAACTATTTTTTTAACTTCAACTGAATGCCGTGTTCATAAAGGTGCTGGAGAATGGGTAAAGCATAATAGAGCTTCCTCTATGCTGCCCCTACCAATGGGCCTCCACTCTAGACTGGCAGCACCACCTCCAGGGTAGGTTTCCTCAGCCTGCCGATACTGTTGATAGGGGTACCACTTTCAGGTGGTGGTGATGGGGATTGTTATTACTACAGTAGCAGATAAAGACCCCAACTGTGATCAAGGCCCCATTGTGCCCCACTGTCCATACACATAGGGAGAGAAAGCCCCTGCCCTGAAGAGCTTACAATCCAAAAAGACAAGAAGACAAAGGATGGGACTAAGGGACTGCTATTGTCCCATTGATGTGGACACCTATCTACTAGGAATTTGACACATTTTGCATAAGCTTCTGAACAGGCAGCAGATGGTAAGGACTTCCCATGCAGACTGGATTGGATTTAGAGGTGGAAGGCTCTGTCTCTCCTTCAGTCTCCCCATTATCTAATGTATGGTGGATAAATGGAGGCCTTAATTCTCCAGGGGTCTCAGTCTGGCAGGGTGACTTACCTGCATATTCCTGAGGCAGCATCGGCCTGCTTATGACTTTCTGAAAAGCTGTAATCCATTCTTGCTGATCACTTTCTGTCTCACAAGCAAAGAGAAATTTTCTGTCTGGGGTCACAATGGTTATCCCATACTGCCAGTGATTTCCCTGGGTGGATGGTGGGAGTCCTTCCAGGACCTTGTAGCTGTTTTCCTTGCTCCCAATAAATACTTCCCCTCTAGCAAAGGCATCCTACAAGATATAAATAAATGATTCAGAGCCCTTTCAAAGTTCCTTGACAAGGTGATGTGGAATATGGATCACGCAGCAAACTAACATTAGTGTTCTCCCTGCAGAGCCTCCAGCACTCACATCAACAGAAAACAGTGAGAGAGGCCTACGAAGCAAATTCCCAAGGTCAAACACCCGCAAAAATTAGAGGTGTTTGAAATACACCAGATTTCAGTTTTGCAAATACTGTAGTTCCTACTTAATAATGAGCCAAACCAAGCCCCTGGATTCCAATCCCTCCTCCCCCCCAAACTTCAGGTGTTCTAAATCCAGACATATTTTGTGCTTTGACCTCATTCCCAGAGAGAGAGAGAGAGAGAGAGAGACCTACTACTGCCTCTATCCTTCTAACCTCTCACCCCCAAAACTCCTCATTAATGCGGATCAACTCCAACGGTACGTCTACATTACCCGCCGGATCTGCATGTAGCGATCGATCTATCGGGGATCGATTTATCGCGTGTAGTGTAGATGCAATAAATCGATCCCCGATCGCTCTCCCGTCGACTGCTGAACTCCAGCAGTGAGAGAGGCGGAAGCAAAGTCGACGGGGGAGCCGCGGCCGTCGATCCAGCGCCGCGAGGACCCGAAGTAAGTCATTTTAATTCAATCTAAGATACATCGACTTCAGCTACGCTATTCTCGTAGCTGAAGTTGCATATCTTAGATCTATTTCCCCTCCCCCCCAGTGTAGACCAGGCTCAAGAGACAGTGGGTCAGATCCTCAGCTGATGTAAATCATCACAATTCCATTGACTTTTGATTTCACGGCCTCCATGCTTCAGTGGGGTTCTTTCGCTTTACACCAGCTGAGGATTGGGCCCAGGGATTCTGCAGCCTCTCAGGCGCTTGCTCCAATCCCAGACTCTTCTATTTTTGAAGTTTTCCAACCATTTAACCTGCACGTTCCTAGCTGCATTTTAAACTTTTCAGCTTGATATTTTTCTAGCCTGCAAGATAGAAATCTCTCTCTCTCTCTGGTATATAATCTTTGGTGTCATTAATTCCAGTGAAATGGAAATATTGCATGTACTATTATAAAGATCTGACTATGTGGCAATTATTCTCTTACCAGACCTGTCAGTCAAGACAAAAGAGAAAAAGGTGGGTGGCCAGTTGCTTAGAACATGCGATTAGGAGCCTTGAATTCTAATCTAATGCCATTGATTTGATATGAGGCACTCATCAAGTTACTTAAATCATTGTTGGCCTGATTCTGATCACATACTGGAATAAATGAGAAGTGGCTCCAGTGGAATGAGATCAGAATCAGGCCCTTTGAGGGGATAATAATCATCATGCCTACGCTGGAAGGATGAGGTGAAGATGAGTGTTTTTACAGTGCTTTGAAAGGTCCCATGGTCAACATTAAAATCTTTACAGCTTGGTGTTTGGTATAAACAACTGTCTATCTTAAGTTCTTACGTGGACCCCATTCCCATATTTCAGTATTTCAGCACCTCACTATCTTTAAAGTATTTATCCTCACAACACCTCTATGAGGTAGGGCAGCACTATCGTCCCCATTTTACAGATGGGAAACTAAAGGTATGTCTACACTGGATCTGGAGGTGTAATTTTCAGCTGTGGTACACAGACCCCAGCCAAAAAGATCAGTGTAGTGGTGGGACAGGCTAGCCCCAGGGCTGGATTTAGGGGCAGGTGACCCAGACGACCGCCTGGGGTGCCGGGTTTGTGGGGCGCAGGGCTGGCAGATTTACAGATCCTAGCCTGCAAATTTATCATCTTAAGGACAGGGATAAATTATGCAGGCAAATCGTGCATCAAAGTCATGAAACGGGCTACAAATGCAATAAAAAATTAAGGTATTCAAAAGTTTAACAAATGGGGGGGGGGAACGCCATTTGGTCTAAGGCTACCCCCAAGTACAATCCCATCTAAAGCCCTATGCATGTATGTAGTCCTGCTGCTTGCACTGCTGTGGCTACACTGCTACGTTTAGCGCACTAGCTCGATCAGAGCTAGCGTGGGTATGTGTACCTGAGCCAGCTCCAGGGAATATCCCAAGGAATAGGGAGGCTAAGTGAATTGCCCAAGGTCAAACAATAAGCCTGTGGCACAGCAGGTCTCCCAAGTCCTAGCTTAGTGCCCTAGCCATGGCCCATCCTTCCTCTCAGTGGTAATATTAATTAATATTGTGACTACCACGGCAACGTTAATTACTAGCAACGATTTTAGTTTGGGATTTTCAAAGAAGCCTCATGGAGATAGGGACCCAGTGGAACTGGGCAAGTGACTCCCCTGAAATCCTTTACCAATCCCAGCCCCGATGGCAACAAAGCACAGAAAAGCCCTGCAAAAGAGCCGAGGGAAAGAAAAATCTGGTAAATGAAATAAAGGCCAGGAAGGGGGGAGGGATAGCTCAGTGGTTTGAGCATTAGCCTGCTAAACCCATGGTTATAAATTCAATTCTTGAGGGGGCCACTTAGGGATCTGAGGCAAAATCAGTTCGTGGTCCTGCTAGTGAAGGCAGGGGGCTGGACTCAATGACCTTTCAAGATCCCTTCTGTTCTAGGAGATAGGATATCTCCATTAATTAATTTATTTTATTTTACTAGATGACCTCCTGAGGTCCCTTCCAACCCTGATAGTCTATGATTCTAAGGGACTCATTTACAGCCATTTAAATAGAGGTTCATGGATGTTTCCGTGACTAACTGTGAACCAGGCTATTGTGCACTGGGCTTTGGACCAAAGTAAAACAACCTGCCCCAAGTATTTTCACTTTATTCCCAAATTAGACCAAACTTCATTACAGGCTATTCCGTGCAGACGCGCGCTGAGATCCAACCCCCTTGCCTTACCAGAGGATCTTTGAAATACATCAACCTTCGGTCGTCCATGGTGAACCATCGCTTCTTGAAACCTTCTGTTTGCTAAAGAGTTGGGAGGGAAAAAAATGATTGAGCAAAGGCAAAGGGAAACCTGGCTCGCTTCTAAGGAGAGAAGTTGAGGGAATTTACGGGGCGCTGGTGTCGTTCAAGGTACACCTCTATCCCGATATAACGCTGTCCTCGGGAGCCGAAAAATCTTACTGCGTTATAAGTGAAACCGCGTTATATCGAACTTGCTTTGATCCGCCGGAGTGCGCAGCCCCGCCCCCCCAGAGCACTGCTTTACGGCGTTATAGCCGAATTCGTGTTATATCGGGGTAGAGGTGTCGTTCTGGTGGGTGAGACATACTCACCAGTTCAGAAAGGGCCGGTTCCACACTAACTTAAGGGCAGAGTGGCTATTATCTGCCAATGGGTGATAATACTTCCCAGTACAACAGGACCATTCATTTCAATGGGAGTTTTAGGGAGGGAGAATTGACAGGCTAATCTGTCAATTGTTTTAAGATACATTTATATCCCCTCCTCCACCACTCAGCCTGTGCCTCTGCACACCCTGGCACTGCGTTCCTCCTTATCAACATTTCCCACACCGGGGGTCTTTTAGGTACAGCATTCGCTGCTTTACAAATGTGTGACGTCAGGAAAAATGACCCCTATGCACCTTATGATGAACAAATGCCTTGGGACGTATGTTTCAAGGAGAAAGAGACACCATCTTAGCACAGCTTTTGTGTGGCTACAATCTGCAGTTTGATCAGCTGCAACCTCCTATCCCACAGCCCCTGATTTTCCAATGTAAATAGATTCAGGGTCTCACAGCAACAGAGTTTACCGAAGTTCCGACCTCAAGAGAAGTTGTAGAAAAGACCTGAATTTCTCATACGAAAAGCAAGCAGAACCCTCAGATGTTGTGCTTTTGGGGCAAAGTGTGTGTGTGTGGGGC